CCCCCCCTACAGTGTTGGTCAGTGGTAAGCATGCCCCCCCCCCTACAGTGTTGGTCAGTGGTAAGCATGCCCCCCCCCCCACAGTGTTGGTCAGTGGTAAGCATGCCCCCCCCCACAGTGTTGGTCAGTGGTAAGCATGCCCCCCCCCCCCCCCCCACAGTGTTGTTGGTCAGTGGTAAGCATGCCCCCCCCCCAGTGTTGGTCAGTGGTAAGCATGCCCCCCCCCACAGTGTTGGTCAGTGGTAAGCATGCCCCCCCCCCCCCCACAGTGTTGGTCAGTGGTAAGCATGCCCCCCCCCCCACAGTGTTGGTCAGTGTTAAGCATGCCCCCCCTACAGTGTTGGTCAGTGGTAAGCATGCCCCCCCCCCCCACACAGTGTTGGTCAGTGGTAAACATATCCCCCCCCCCCCTACAGTGTTGGTCAGTGGTAAACATGCCCCCCCCCCCCCACAGTGTTGGTCAGTGGTAAGCATGTCCCCCCCACAGTGTTTGGTCAGTGGTAAGCATGCCCCCCCTACAGTGTTGGTCAGTGGTAAGCATGCCCCCCCCTACAGTGTTGGTCAGTGCTAAGCATGCCCCCCCCTACAGTGTTGGTCAGTGCTAAGCATGCCCCCCCCTACAGTGTTTGGTCAGTGGTAAGCATGACCCCCTACAGTGTTGGTCAGTGGTAAGCATGACCCCCCTACAGTGTTGGTCAGTGGTAAGCATGACCCCCCCTACAGTGTTGGTCAGTGGTAAGCATGACCCCCCTACAGTGTTGGTCAGTGGTAAGCATGACCCCCCCCCCTACAGTGTTGGTCAGTGGTAAGCATGCCCCCCCCCACAGTGTTGGTCAGTGGTAAGCATGCCCCCCCCCCCACAGTGTTGGCCAGTGGTAAGCATGCCCCCCCCCCCCCCCCCACAGTGTTGGTCAGTGGTAAGCATGCCCCCCCCCCCACAGTGTTGGTCAGTGGTAAGCATGCCCCCCCCCACAGTGTTGGTCAGTGGTAAGCATGACCCCCTTCCCCAGTGTTGGTCAGTGGTAAGCATGACACCCCCCCCCCCCCCAGTGTTGGTCAGTGGTAAGCATGACCCCCCACAGTGTTTGGTCAGTGGAAAGCAGGGCCCCCTAAAGCTCCTGGCTTCGTTCATCACAGAAAAGATCGAGGAAAGGGATGTTCCTTCATCTACTTTGTAGACAGCCAACCTGACATCAGTTGCAGGTGTTGCAGTGGAATGGGTGAGCCCAGGAGCGGCAGTGGGAGGGGAGACCCCTACCGAGCACTGTAAACGTGATCCCCCGCTCAGTAGTAACCCCCAACTCTGCTGATCCCCCGCTCAGTATTCATTTTTACTTATTGTTTGTAAAGGTTTACAATTTTCAGCAATACAATGATCCTGGTACTTTTTTTTTTTTTTTAAAGTCGGTTGACCTATAAAAATGATCCAGGCAGTAGTAACCCCCAACTCTGCTGATCCCCAGCTCAGTAGTAACCCCCAACTCTGCTGATCCCCAGCCCAGTAGTAACCCCCAACTCTGCTGATCCCCAGCCCAGTAGTAACCGCCAACTCTGCTGATCCCCAGCCCAGTAGTAACCGCCAACTCTGCTGATCCCCAGCCCAGTAGTAACCGCCAACTCTGCTGATCCCCAGCCCAGTAGTAACCGCCAACTCTGCTGATCCCCAGCCCAGTAGTAACCGCCAACTCTGCTGATCCCCAGCCCAGTAGTAACCGCCAACTCTGCTGATCCCCAGCCCAGTAGTAACCGCCAACTCTGCTGATCCCCAGCCCAGTAGTAACCGCCAACTCTGCTGATCCCCAGCCCAGTAGTAACCCCCAACTCTGCTGATCCCCAGCCCAGTAGTAACCGCCAACTCTGCTGATCCCCAGCCCAGTAGTAACCGCCAACTCTGCTGATCCCCAGCCCAGTAGTAACCGCCAACTCTGCTGATCCCCAGCCCAGTAGTGACCGCCAACTCTGCTGATCCCCAGCCCAGTAGTGACCGCCAACTCTGCTGATCCCCCAGCCTCTGCTGAGTAGTGTAGTGACGCCAACTCTGCTGATCCCCAGCCCAGTAGTGACCGCCAACTCTGCTGATCCCCAGCCCAGTAGTGACCGCCAACTCTGCTGATCCCCAGCCCAGTAGTGACCGCCAACTCTGCTGATCCCCCGCTCAGTAGTGACCGCCAACTCTGCTGATCCCCCGCTCAGTAGTGACCGCCAACTCTGCTGATCCCCCGCTCAGTAGTGACCGCCAACTCTGCTGATCCCCCGCTCAGTAGTGACCGCCAACTCTGCTGATCCCCCGCTCAGTAGTGACCGCCAACTCTGCTGATCCCCCGCTCAGTAGTGACCGCCAACTCTGCTGATCCCCCGCTCAGTAGTGACCGCCAACTCTGCTGATCCCCCGCTCAGTACTAACCGCCAACTCTGCTGATCCCCCGCTCAGTCAGTAGTAACCACAAAGCAAACACAACCTGTGCACATGGCTGTAAGGTGACGGGTGCTTTGATTGGCATTCAGAGCACTTTAACCCCTCGTCCCTGACCAGGCCATTTTTTGCGATAAGGCGCTGCGTTACTCTAACTGACAATTGCACAGTCATGCAATGTTGCACCCAAATGAAATTTATGTTATTTTTTTTCCCCACAAATTGAGCTTTCTTTCGGTGGTATTTGATCGCGTCTGCGGTTTTTATTTTTTGCACTATAAAACAAAAAAAACTGACAATTTTGAAAGAAAAAATAATTTTTTTTTTTACTTTTTTGCTATAAAACATATCGAGTAAAAAAATGTTTTTAAAAATCAAATTTAGTCATAAATTTAGGCCAAAATGTATTCTGCGACATGTCTTTGCTAAAAAAAAAAAATCCCAATACATCTAAATGAATTGGTTTATGTGAAAGTTATAACGTCTACAAATGGTGGTATAGATACTGGAATTTTTTTTTTATACTAGTAATGGTGACTTATAGCGGGACTGCGGTGGCCATTGTGACACTGGAGGGGGAGACTAACTGATACTGACATCCCCAGTGACACCAATACTGTGATCAGTGCTAATAAAAAGCACTGACACTGTACTAATAACACTGGGCAGGAAGGGGTTAACATCTGGGGCGATCAAGGGGTAAACCGTGTGACTTTTACTATTTTGTCTGTGTGTGCTTTAGTCCTCATGCACACTTAATGTTTTTACAGCGGATGTTCTCAGCGTTTGACATTTTTTTCTACAGCCGGTAAACTCCCCAGCATGTTATCCTATGTGTCCATGCACACAGACTGCAATCAGTGTTTTTTGGCTGGAACCCCCCCCCCAAAAAAAAAACTAGTAGGATTTTAGGGGAGTTTAGCTGTAAAAACGCTCTAATACTGAAAAAACACCGTAAAATGCAGCAAACCGGCATTTTTGGACCAAAAGAAACTTTTTTGGGGGGCAAAAAAAAAAAAACACCCACTGAAAAACACAAATGCAGAAAAACGCCGCTAATCGTGGCAAAACGTCGCTAAGCACTAATGCAAAAACGCTGAAAAACCTTGCCTTTTTAACGTGACTTTACACAGCTAGCGTTATCAAAACGTCAAGTGTGCATGAGGACTAACTGTACAAGCATGCTGCTTTGTGTTGCTCAGCAGAGCAATACAAAGCAGTGTGCTGCATTGTTTACATACAGACCTCTACTCTGCCAGTGTTCCTTGGCAATCGCCAGGTGCCGGCGGGGAATATCCAGCCAGGATCCAGTGATTGATAGCTGAAGCCGCCAATAGTGGCGCGGATAGGGTGGTGCATGCACACCTCCTACCCGGAAATACAGAATCACGTATATATACACACGTGATTATGCACAGCCCTGCCACCCTGTAGCAGTACTTCTGCTACAGGGCGGTTGGGAAGCGGTTACAAAAGCACATCAATGCCACATTTTGAAACACATATAAACAAGCCCTTAAAGCGTTACCTATGGACAATTTTAGATGCTGCCATTTCACAGGTGTACGCAATTGTAATTCTCCGGCATGTTTGCTATTTACTCGGCACAACATCACCTTTTACATTTTACCAAAAATGGATTATATTGTTGTATACAAAATCTCACGTGACGAACAAAAACAAACAAAAAAGTAACATTTTCAAACTGCTCCAGGCAGCAAGTAGTTAACTGGCCAGCAACTGTGCAGAGAGTGGGGAGGAAACTTGTGACATAGTTTCACTTGTCCTCCCTGGATGTATCCAATGACACCATGGTGAAATGAAGGTGGCTGGACTCCCCTCCCTGGACTGTTCATAGTGGAAGTACTGGATCCTCAGAGACGTTTATAAACAACAAACAATGCAAACATATAAACAGAGGAAGTCAGGGACCTGTCTGTGCACCAATACAACCCATCACCCACCCCCCACTCATCATTGGTAAGTACTGGCCACCTACCTGCCTGGCCTCCTATAGGCAGGACATACCTCTGTGTACAGCTGCTTCTCCCTCAGCCTTGCCTCTTCAGTGGCAGACCTCCATTCCAGAGAGATCCCAGCTCCTTACTCCCAGCCCCGCCCCTCACATCTCCCCTCCCCCAGGCCGACAAAACTTCACAAAAGAAAGTTCACAGCCTGTCACGTGACACCCCCACTCTCGCCTCCCCGCCACCACCCCGCTTCACGTGACCCTTGCCCGGCTCTCATTCACCTTTATTGACAGAATAAGAATTTGAGTCAGTCCCGCTTTATTTAATAATGGTGTATTGTAGCCGAGGACTTCGGGTTCTGGCCTTGATAACAAATGTTGTGCGACTACAGCCTTATGTCACCGGCCAGAACACAATGCAGACAGGAGGAAGGGGTCTATGCTTGCATTACATTCTGGATTATAATATGCCGAACACACATCCGGCGACCGCTACCATACGAGACCGGCGCATTGCGCTGATGGGGAGTGCGCATGCGCAGAGGCACTGCGTTCCGCTGGCGATTTGCACATGCGCCTTCTTTGGTCTCGGTGGAAACGTGACGTCAGTGAGTGAACATGGCGGGGGTTGTAGCTGTGAATGAGGGGATCAGAAAACGAATCACCACCCCGAGTAAAGCCGAGCTGTCCGATTATCGGGATGGGACGAAGGTGGGTGAGAGGCCGGCGGGGATCCGTGCTCAACTCTGATTGGCTCAATTCTACCCTAACAATTGCATTGTTGTCAAAGGATTCTGAGTGTCTCTGTTACATTGTTGTCATAGAGTCCTGAGTGTCGGTGTTACATTGGTGTCATAGGATCCTGAGCGTCGCCGTTACATTGGTGTCATAGGATCCTGAGCGTCGTGTTACATTGGTGTCATAGGATCCTGAGCGTCGCCGTTACATTGGTGTCATAGGATCCTGAGCGTCGCCCTTACATTGGTGTCATAGGATCCTGAACTCAAAAAACCGCACTGGAATGCACATGTCCTTATTTAAATTGAAGAAAGAGGGAAAAAATTAACTGGAGTGCGTCAAAAACGTGCATGCGGAAACGCACCTGGACTGTGTGAACCGGCCCTAAGGGATACGTTCAACTTTGGGAACATGTTACATTGTTCTACCCGTTTTTTGGCTGACACTTGTATCATGTTCCTGCAACTATCCCCCTGATCCCCCTGTCACAGGATCTTCTCCCCACACCTGCTGTCATAATTTTGAAAAGAACATGGCTGTGCGGGGCTCCGCCCACACGGCTGCGTCATTCATTCAGAGAGTTCTGAGAGTAAATGAACTACAAGTGACAACAGTCTTTGTGGCTGACAGCTTGCAGTTACAATGGACTGCGAGGGTGATGGTGGAGCGCTCTAGTAGTCCATTGATTGCTCCTGCCTGCCTGCCTGTACAAGGTCCGAAGTGACAGCTGACACTGACAGTCTGCAGGAGCCCTACATGACACCAGTGATCTGCCAGCTGGAGCAATGCTTCCCAGGCTCCTAAAACAAAAAATTCTAATCGTATATATAGTTTTTTTATCTGCAAAAAAGTGCATTTATTATTTTTATAAAAGGTGAATTTAACCTTTAAAAGCCTTTATAGGTTCCCAGTTTACCTTCGGTTCACATCTGTGTGGGTGGTGCTGCTCCTGGGACCCGCACAAAAGCCTGCAGCTGCACCACCCACACAGAGGAATACGGGACCCATTAATTCTAATGGCACGCCTCCTGCACTGGAAATCGCAACCGTATTGGGATCCTCAGTTTCTGTGTGGGCTGCGATTTCCAAAGTAGTGCAGGGACTTCTTCCCTGCGTGTCAGGAGGCACGGGAGTCCATTCAAATGAATGTGCACTCGTTCCCGCACAAATCACGACCCGTACAGATGTGAACCAGAGCTAAGAATTACACAGGAAGTTGAGCTAGAATTACCGCTCTCTCTCTGTGCCATCCAAAGAGATACCTCACTTGTGTAGCGTGATTATCGTTTACATATGCGCACAGGACCAACGCATACGTTCGCCTTTGTGCACGAGCATTGCGGGGACTGGGGCGCTTTAAACATTTTTTTTTTTGAATTTTTTAAAATCACTTTTATTGCTATCACAAGGGATGAACAACATAGCATGGGTCATGACAGGTCCTCTTTATGGAGAGATTTGGGGTCTATTAGACCCCCCCCCTCCCCCCAAGGCAAGGCTTGGGCTGGGATTGCCTGCTCAGGGGGTGGTTTGAGTGAGTCAGGAGGAGTATCTAGAAATAGCCCAGCAGTAGCAGCTTGCCTTACAGCTGACTATATCTGATAAGGATGAGTCATTCGGTTTTCTGCTGTTTGCTTCTTGAGCTATAGAACACTGTACACAAGAGGCTGTTTACAACAGGCAGCTAAGGTCATCTGTTAACCACATCAATACCAGATGCTTTCACCATTGTGACACTTTGACGATTACTCAGTCTTGAATTTTTTTTTAATTATTTTTATGAAGCAGAGCTTTCTTTTTTGGTGGTATTTAATCACCAGTGGGTGTTCTATTTTTTGCTAAAAGTGCAAAAAAAAAAACCCAAAATTAAAAAAAAATGCATTTTTCTTTGTTTCTGTTATAAAATTGTGAAATAACTAATCTTCCTTCATAAATGTAGGCCATAATTTATTCTGCTACATTTCTTTGGTAAAAATGACCCAAATCAATGTGGCAATAACCCAATCTATTTCTTTACATACTAACATCAGAACAGTGTAGTGTCACCATAGTGACACTGTACTACTCTGGGGTGGTGATGAGGATTGTTTTTTTTTTTTTTTTTTACATCGATTGCCTATAACAGTAATGATCACTGTTATAGGCAGTCATTTTTATGATTAGTATCCATTCATTCATCATGTACGATTGTGAAAGCTGTGATTGGCCATAGCTATCACATGGCACAGGTGCACTGCGATTGACCCTGTCTGTACCATGTGATCACTGTGGTCAATCACAGAGATCAACACAATAGTACACTTTGACTATGAATGAAAGCCCTTTATTGTGTACAATTGTCATGACTGATCACAGCGATCACATCTCGGAAATACCTTGCAGCGCTGCTCCAGGATCCCTTCTGCACTTACCTTGTTCTGCGCTCCCGCGATGTCCCCCCTGCAGTGTCCCTGGCAATGTCCTCTGGCGGATGCCGGCGTCTGTCTTCCGGGTTCCGTTCCCTGCGACGTCAGGACGTATGAGGACGGAACTGGCAGGAAATTTAAAAATGTCAAAAAGTGACATTCACTAAATACACTAAAATAACATAGTAAAACATTACTGTATCAAACTATTTCACATACATTTTGTCCCGAGTGCTTTGTTCTGTGTCCTCCCTGCATTTTTACCGTTCTTTCTGCCTGGAAACTGAGAAACGTCCATGGCGTCCAAAAAGCGTCCCTTTTAGGTCAAAAGCGGTTTTTAGACCAGCTAGAGAACAGCGATAGTAAATTAGAACCACTTTTAGAATTGAGTGATAATGATTTGCGGGGAAATTTGTCATCAGACACTGAAATGATTTTGGACTTTGCTCAGTGATGTGCGAACTTGGCGCTATATTTCAAATTTCAGTGTTTTTGGTTTGATTATATTTAATTAAAATTATTATTATTATTATTATTATTTTTTATGATTATTTATTAAATTATAATTTATGATTTTGTGTTTCAAATGTTAACATACCCGGAATGTTTACTAGACTCTTGTTCGGACAGATTTCAGTGAGTTATTCCTAAAAATTACAGGCCTACAATAAAAAACTACATATTTCCATGCAAAAAAAGTACCGCTTTGAGCCCAGAAATATGGACATAATCAGACCGCTAGGGAGGCTACTGATGGCTGTAGAATTCACCCGACAGCAGGGAATTCTGATTACTGACACAGAAGTGGCCTGCCCACTTACCTAGCAAATGACCGTTCTGGATGTATAATATAATATCTTGCATGTTTTTTTGCAAATTCTAATTTCATACAAATACTGTATTTTTTGTTACATAAGATGCACCCCCCCCCCCCAAAAAAAAAAAAAACATGGGGGAAAATGTCTGTGCTTCTTATTGAGCACCTGGCCAGGTTTTTCCGCCGCCATGTTAGAATACCGAGCCTGCCACTTGGCTCTTCTGTGCTCCTCAGTCCTACCTGTTCCTCGGTTCAGCGCTGTACTCTCTGTCTTCTCTCCCTGGTGCCGGCATCTTTACTGTGGGCACCTGGCTGTGACACCTTGCAGCTTCACAGCCGGGTGTCCATTGCACATGCGTGAGAAGCGATGCGCTCTGTGAATGGTCCGGCAGTCTTCTGGGACCTGTTACGTGTCCCAGAAGACGGGGAGGGAGAACAACTCTGCGAAAGTGGGAGAGGGTAACTGTCAAATTCGGGTACCCGCTGCTCCCCAAAGGTCTGCAGTCTCTGGTGGTCGCCTGTACCGTGTCTGCAGTCTCTGGTGGTCCCCTGTACCGTGTCTGCAGTCTCTGGTGGTCCCCTGTACCGTGTCTGCAGTCTCTGGTGGTCCCCTGTACCGTGTCTGCAGTCTCTGGTGGTCCCCTGTACCGTGTCTGCAGTCTCTGGTGGTCCCCTGTACCGTGTCTGCAGTCTCTGGTGGTCCCCTGTACCATGTCTGCATTCTCTGGTGGTCCCCTGTACCGTGTCTGCACTCCATTGGTTCAGAATATTTTTTTCTTGTTTTCCTCCTCTAAAACCTAGGTGCGTCTTATGGTCAGGTGCGTCTTATGGAGTGAAAAATACGGTATTTGAGATTGTGAACTTCAAAGACGAAATCCAGGGATACATAATAGACACAAATGAATGCAGCTCTGTATCTATTTATACATAATCACATTTATTTATAGTCAGGCAAGTATCTGACTTTGGCTCGGTATGGCATTTTCAATCAGTGCACAGCAGGGCTCAGACTGGGGAAATGAGAAGCAGCACAAGGAGATTATTGGAAGTGCTGTAGTACAAGGAGCATGCTAATTATTGGGGTAGAGGCGAATGACAGCGAGTTGAGCTCATCAATCTGCTGCTTCTCTTTTTACTGTCCAATCACAGGCTGAGGGTGGGGAGGAGACCTGTAACTATTACTGAACTGCAGCAGAGGTAAATCAGGTCTCCTCCCCGACCTGTGCTGGGTGAATCACAGGACTGGATGGACTGAAATAAAAATCCTTTGGCAGGCAGAACATCTATTATGCAATATATGTATTTCATCTGTGCATTTAATGGCTTGCCTAGAGTTCTGCTTTTATCAAAAAGAGGACAGAAAGTCATTACATATTTCTTTTCAATGCTACATGTAATATCCACAACATCCTAAAACTCGTGTTTGTGTTTACAGGCCACCTTCCACTTCAAGACCTTGCTGTGCGATGAGAAGCGTACGGTGGTTGATGACAGCTCCAACAGAGACAAGCCAATGGAGCTGATAATAGGCAAGAAGTTCAAGCTGCCTGTATGGGAAACCATCATTCGCAGCATGCGGGAAGGAGAAGTCTCTGAATTCTTGTGTGACATGACGGTATGGAGTGGATTCAATTATAATAGTTAATGTCTAGAAAAAGTAGCATATGACCACCTTTTTTTTTTTAAATTTTGTTTTCTTTTTTAAAATTAACAGAAGGGACCGTGCTTACATTAAGTCTTCATGCACATTTTGACGTTTTTACAGCGGCTGTTTTTGTCTTTTGATGTTTTTTTCTACAGCCAGTAAACCCCCCCAGTTTGTTATCCTACAGTCAGGTCCATAAATATTGGGACATCAACACAATTCTAACATTTTTGGCTCTATACACCACCACAATGGATTTGAAATGAAACAAACAAGATGTGCTTTAACTGCAGACTGTCAGCTTTAATTTGAGGGTATTTACATCCAAATCAGGTGAACGGTGTAGGAATTACAACAGTTTGCATATGTGCCTCCCACTTGTTAAGGGACCAAAAGTAATGGGACAGAATAATAATCATTAATCAAACTTTCACTTTTTAATACTTGGTTGCAAATCCTTTGCAGTCAATTACAGCCTGTAGTCTGGAACGCATATATATCACCAGACGCTGAGTTTCATCCCTGGTGATGCTCTGCCAGGCCTCTACTACAACTGTCTTCAGTTCCTGTTTGTTCTTGGGGCATTTTCCTTTAAGTTTTGTCTTCAGCAAGGAAATGCATGCTCAATCGGATTCAGGTCAGGTGATTGACTTGGCCATTGCATAACATTCCACTTCTTTCCCTTAAAAAACTCTTTGGTTGCTTTTGCCGTATGCTTTGGGTCATTGTCCATCTGCACTGTGAAGCGGCGTCCAATGAGTTCTGAAGCCTTTGGCTGAATATGAGCAGATAATATTGCCCAAAACACTTCAGAATTCATCCTGCTGCTTTTGTCAGCAGTCACATCATCAATAAATACAAAAGAACCAGTTCCATTGGCAGCCATACATGCCCACGCCATGACACTACCACCACCATGCTTCACTGATGAGGTGGTATGCTTAGGATCATGAGCAGTTCCTTTCCTTCTCTATACTCTTCTCTTCCCATCACTCTGGTACAAGTTGATCTTGGTCTCATCTGTCCATAGGATGTTGTTCCAGAACTGTGAAGGCTTTTATAGATGTTGTTTGGCAAACTCTAATCTGGCCTTCCTGTTTTTGAGGCTCACCAATGGTTTCCATCTTGTGGTGAACCCTCTGTATTCACTCTGGTGAAGTCTTCTCTTGATTGTCAACTTTGACACACATACACCTACCTCCTGGAGAGTGTTCTTGATCTGGCCAACTGTTGTGAAAGGTGTTTTCTTCACCAGGGAAAGAATTCTTCGGTCATCCACCACAGTTGTTTTCCGTGGTCTTCCGGGTCTTTTGGTGTTGCTGAGCTCACCGATGCGTTCCTTCTTTTTAAGAATGTTCCAAAGAGTTGTTTTGGCCACGCCTAATGTTTTTGCTATCTATCTGATGGGTTTGTTTTGTTTTTTCATCCTAATGATGGCTTGCTTCACTGATAGTGACAGCTCTTTGGATCTCATCTTGAGAGTTGACAGCAACAGATTCCAAATGCAAATAGCACACTTGAAATGAACTCTGGACCTTTTATCTGCTCATTGTAATTGGGATAATGAGGGAATAACACACACCTGGCCATGGAACAGCTAAGAAGCCAATTGCCATTTACTTTTGGTCCCTTAACAAGTGGGAGGCACATATGCAAACTGTTGTAATTCCTACACCGTTCACCTGATTTGGATGTAAATACCCTCACATTAAAGCTGACAGTCTGTAGTTAAAGCACATCTTGTTTGTTTCATTTCAAATCCATTGTGGTGGTGTATAGAACCAAAAATGTTAGAATTGTGTTGATGTCCCAATATTTATGGACCTGACTGTATGTGTCTATGCACACATAGACTGTAATCCACGTTTTTTTGGCTGAAAAAAAAAACCTCAGGACTAGTGGGTTTCTAGAGGAATATTTTAGTTGTACAAACACTCTTAACGCGGTAAATCGTGGCAAACCAGCGTTTTTGGACTTTTTTGGGAAGAAAAACCATCAAAAACGTGGCTAAACGCTAATACAAAAAACACTATAAAACACTGAAAAACACGTTTTTAACATGCCTTTACACAGCTAAGGTTACCAGCATTATTAAAATGCCCAGTGTGCATGGAGCCTTAATGGGAAGTATCCTTGTGCTGGTGCCGACTTTTCAATAACACCCCCCATACACCTGCAGCCATAATCTTCCAGTGCTGTGGGGGTTAATACGAGCACTGGGCCTGTCATAGGCACTCATAGGAGCTTTAGTAGCTATGTGGTTAGCACTTCCGCTTGGCAGTACTAGAGTGGTTGGTTCGAATCCCAACCACAGAACCACCTGCCTGGAGTTTGCATGTTCTCCCTGTGCCTGCGTGGGTTCGATCCAAAGACATCCTGGGAGGTTAATTGGCCCTAATATGTATATGTATGAATGTGAGTTAGGGACCTTAGATTGTAAGTTCCTTGAGGTCAGGAACTGATGTGAATGTATAACACCTATGTAAAGTGCTGCGTAAATTGACAGCGCTATACAAGTACCTGGGATAATATTAACCCCTTGTCGCCAAGCATACGCAAATTAGTAGCCCCACTGGACTGAGCTTTTTTCTGTGTGGCTGCTAATTTGCGTACCTATCTTTGTGCTGGGAGCGCACCGCACGGCATGCTCCCAGCACAAAGACCGGGGTATCAGTGAGAGCCAGATTCCTGGTCACATAATCGCTTCTAATTGGATATCACAGTGATCAGTCACTGTGAAGCCCGCCTCCCTTGTTTTCTCTTTCTGAATGGAGGAGAGAGATACATTGTATCTCTCGCTGTCCTTTCAGAGAGAAAAAAAAATAATAAAAATACCTAGCTCAAGGTTTGATCTAGGTCAGTGCCAGTGTTAGTGTTTGTGTCAGGGTCAAAGGCCAAGGTCGGGATTTTTTTTTTTTTTTTTAAATTAATATCAGTGTCAGTTTTTGGGTTGTTCTTTGGTGGTTGGTTATGGTAGTAGCAAGAAATACACAACTAAATTAAATTTATTTTTTTTTTACTATTTTGGGCCAGTTTTCCTTTAGAAAAATAATCAGGAGATATCCATTACCATTTACCACCAAATGAAAGCCCAATTTGTCCTGCAAAAAAAAAACAAGATATAACTTGCCTGGATGTACAAGTAGTAGTAGTGATCATCTGTACAGTTTTGCTAACACATGTCTAAGTTGCAAAATTGTGCTTAGGCTTTAGGATTTGTTTTAAGATTCATAGTACTTCTATGAATGGAGGAGTGGGGTGGAAAGAGCAGGCATAGTCAGCACTTTTGGTGTTTACCTATCACATGTGCAGGACTTGTAGTATTAACCTGCGCTGCACCAGAGAATTATGGCTGCTGGGGGGTATGGAGAGCAGAGGACTTTGGATTTCAACTAGCACTGCCGGCACCAGCACAAGGAACACTTCTCATTAAAAATTAAATGATTTTAGGGGGCTGAGGTGATTTTGTGACAGAGAGAGAACATTGACAGAGAGAGAAGGTTATTTGGATGTTGCTTCTCTTTTACTGTCCAGTCCCAGGAGAGCATTGTGACAAAGCTGTGTAAATATTAGGACTAGATGGGAAGAAATTCAAATACTTAAAGGCATTACAATCCTCCTACCCATACCTGGTGTTTTTCACCTGCATAAGATGTGTATTGATCATATAGTTTCATGGTTGGTCTATACCTATAGCCTTTAGTAGAATACATTTTCGCATTCCTGTGTCAGATGTTTTTGTTTGTGCTCACCATGAGGCATGCTGCATGGCACTGCAAAAGTTAATGCATGACTTCTTTCTGTAGTCTAAGAACTGACACTTCCTGTGTAGAAACTACATATCCCACAATCCCTGGGTCTCTCCGTTTTATTTTTTTGCAGGTAAAACTACTAATTAGATCTGAAATGAAGAGAAAAGATGTGTTTTTATCACATTAACATTCTCACATTTGTGATGCAACATGGAGAAATGAAGAAATGGCTAGGCATGCTTTGGACACGTAAACCTTACTGTAAGCTTACACCTGTAGGCACAATGAATATTTCCTAAATGTGCACCATTTAAGGAGATATTCTGATTGGCAGTAGCCAATGATGTCACTGGTGCATGCGCAGCGATGCTCTGCATTCAGGAGCACAGAGTGTGCCGTGGAATGCAGAGCCCTATGCCGTGATTGTAACTCCCGCATGCATGCACAGGAGTGATGTCATCATGGCCTGGCTAATCAGACAGCTGGATTGTGCAAACCCAGAAGGAAAACCAGGTAAAGATGACAATGCACTGCTGGTGGGTGTTGTTTCCAAGGTAATTCTGCCATAATGTGCTAGTATGAAGTGCATACTAGCATATTATGGCATTAAAGCAGAGTTCCAATCTACTTGGCACTTCAAGCACCCCGATGATTCTCTTCAGCTGTACTATATAATTAGGGCAGTGTTCAAAGTGTATGGCTTTTGCTTACTTGTAAATATGGCATTCCTCAGCAGGATCCCGGCAGACAGGCAGTGGCCATTACTGGGGTGGGCATTTGAGGCCCGCTCCTACTTTCTTCTGGGATTCAGTGCTGCTGACTACCTAGCATGCACCTCCCGATTCCCACCCTATTGTTATGGCAACATGTCAATCAATCCTCCTGATCATGTCACTTTTTGTCAAGAAAAACACTGAGATTTCACCAATAGGTTTCCAAAAGACAAGATAGATGACGCTGATATCCCAAGAGTCCTAGGGAATCGCCAAATGACAAAATTGCCTAGGCGGTCGGACCACAAGTGCAGAATACAGATGGCAAAAAAAAAAAAATATCCCATTACAGACTGTTATGTGGGGGGCATTGTGTGGCAAGGATCATGAAAGAAAGGGTGAAACTACGCATTAACCTGCAGGGGGACCCAAATTTTACTTTTTTTAATTTTTAACTTTACTACCACTTTAGGCAGGTAAAACAGATCCCATATATACTATATTGCAAAAAGTATTGGGACGCCTGCCTTTACAGGCACATGAATTTTAATGGAATCCCAGTCTTAGTCCTTAGGGTTAAATTTTCAGTTGGCCCACCTTTTGCAGCTTCAACTCTTCTGAGAAGGCTGTCCACAAGGTTTAAGAGTGTGTCTATGGGAATGTTTGACCATTCTTCCAGAAAAAGAATTTGTGAGGTCAGGCACTGATGACGGACGAGAAGGCCTGGCTCGCAGTCTCTGCTCTAATTCATCCCAAAGGTGTTCTATCGGGTTGAGGTCAAGACTCTGTGCAGGCCAGTCAAGTGTGCAGTCATGTTGGAACAGGAAGGGGCCATTCCAAAACTCTTCCCACAAAGTTGGGAGCATGAAATTGTCCAAAATGTCTTGGCATGCTGACGCCTTAAGAGTTCCCTTCACTGGAACTAAGGGGCCAAGCCCAACCCCTGAAAAACAACCCCACACCATAATCCACCCTCTACCAAACTTTACACTTGGCACAATGCAGTCAGGCAAGTACCATTCTCCTGGCAACCGCTAAACCCAGACATGTCGATCTGATTGCCAGACAGAGAAGCGTAATTCACCACTCCAGAGAACACATCTTCCCTGCTCTAGAGTCCAGTGGCAGTGTGCTTTACACCGCCGGATCCGATGCTTTGCATTGCACTTAGTGATGTAAGGCTTGGATGCAGCTGTTTGGCCATGGAAACCCATTCCATGAAGCTCTCTATGCACTGTTGTGCTAATCTGAAGGCCACACCAACCGACAGTTGGTGACTTTTGCACACTGTACACTTCAGCATGCGCTGACCCCACTCTGTCATTTTACGTAGCCTACCACTTGCTGGGTGAGTTGCTGTTGTTCCCAGTTTCTTCCACTGTGTTATAATACCACTAATTGTTGACTGTGGAACATTTAGTAGCAAGGAAATGTCGTGGATGGACTTATTGCACAGGTGGCCACCTATCACGATACCACGCTTGAATTTACTGAGCTCCTGAGAGCAACCCATTCTTTCACAAAATGTTTGTAGAAGCAGTCTGCATGCCTAGGTGCTTCATTTTATACACCTGTGGCCATGGAGGGGATTGAAACATCTGAATCCAATGATTTGGAGGGCTGGCCCAATACTTTTGGCAATATAGTGTATGTATTTCATGTATGTACAGTAGTTAGCTGTTTGCGTGGAGTTAACTGGTCAGTTTAGTGGGCTGCTCATTTTTAATTACAGGATAGCTCTGCAATAGTGTGTCAAGTGGGTAGGTATGGAAAGAACATCACAATTATCCACTAGAAAGTCATAATCTGATTAGCTAGCTACTGAACATCAATTAATGAATTATAAGAAAATTTAGAAACGGTTCACACTAGAACACGGTGCGAGAAACCCGCGATCCATCCACATTGCTCCACACCACGTTCAGATCGCACTGCCCTTGTGATCTGCAATGGGTGTCAGTTCAGTGTTAACGCCCCAAACGTAGGATGCAATCGCACTGCATTTGCCTGCACTGCATCGCCTGCTACAAACTGACCATGCAATCTGGTTGCAGCGAGTTTCTAAAATTGGTGTATGCACTACTTTGGTGTGATTTGATTTTGAATGGGCTGAAATCGCACTTCACTAAATCGCATGTGCACTATCAATCGCACAGGAATGAGCACCATAGTGTGAACCTAAGCTTAAGTTACCGTTAATCATTGAATATCACAATTACAACTCTTTTGATCTATGTTGGATCCTTTTAATTTATCTTACAATCATTTACACCTTTTTCTCCAAGCAGGTGCGTGTTAATGTATTTAGTTAATAAGTGGCATATAAAACGAGTTAGGATGGTTTAATACTTTCATACATATGGTAAATGGCCATTGTCTTTTAGCATGTGATCGATTACCCACAAGTCTCCCGTAGTCTGCGTCGGATTGCAGCAGGACAGGATCCTCGTGAAGGTCAGAGACATTGCTGCGGAGGGATAGCACAGCTTCACGACCATTCCCTTGGATATGTCGATTTGGACACACTGCAAAAAGATCCTCAGCCCTTAATATTTGTCATCACCCTTTTAAAGGTAGGACACTTTTCATGCCTTTTAAGAAATATGTTAGTAGTTGCATACAGTAGTTACAACACTGTCATATACTGCATAAGAAAGTACATATACTATGATTGTTCTGCCTGTTTTGTTGTAACCCCACCGCATCTTCTGTATGTCTGTTTTGAAAATTTCAATAACATTTGTTGTAAAGCACTGCACTGCATCTGTTGGCGCTATATAAATTGTGTATTTATTATAATAATCAGAAAAAAAGTGTTCTTTCACGACTTAAGGACTGTGGATGGGCAACCCGTACAGGCACAGCGACTTCCCTGTATGTTGCTGGCCTCTTCCGGGTACAGGGCGTGTGCGTGCCCCCTGCTCACCAACTCTGTCTCTGTATAATCACAGCAGGATTTTGTCAGCAAGTGCTGGCCAATGATTCATGGTCAAAACCTGCTGATTGGCTGTGTGCAATCTGATCCCAGAGCCCTGTGTACAAAGGGAACAATATCCTTGTTTCTTCTCCCTGCAAAGAGAGAAGGAACAAAGAGATTTATTAGTAATAAGCAGCAAATAATACACACATTAACACTTGTTATGCACACACTTTACCCCCTTGATTACCCCGAGATGTTAACAGCATCCCCACTGTCCTATAGCAGAAATACTGCTACAGGGTAGCAGGGACGCGCAAAATCACATGTGTATATATACGTGATTTTGCATTTCCGGGTAGGGGGCATGCGTGCGCCCTACCTGGGCCGCCATTCACCGGCGCCCAGCTGGTAATTACCGGCACCGGGTGATTTCCAACGATCACTGACAGGGAGTAGGACTGTTTTGTTTACGAACAGTTCTCCTCCCTTTCAGCTCGGGCATACTGCTCTGGATGTCAGTGACACCAGGTCAGTTCCCCCCAGTGTCAGAATGTCCACCGCAGTCCCGCTATAAGTCGCTGATCCAAAGAACCAAAGGTATACCGCTCAGGCAAACAATCCAGATCAATCCACAACAGGTGCAGGCTCTGGCTCACCACCACACACAATTCAATAGGAAGAAAGGTGAGCCACACACCAGAGGGTAGATGAATATAGTGTGTATTTATTAATCCATAGGATACACAAAACACCAGGACATGAATACAGGACCTGTTAACGCATTTCACGCGATCTCATGCTTGATCACTGCCATTGCTAGTAAAAATTAAATAAATCCCAGTATCTATACCACCATTTGTAAATGCTATAACTTTCATGTAAACCAATCAATTGACATGTATTAGGATTTTTTTTTTTAGCAAAGACATGTCGAAGAATATATTTTGGCCTAAATTTATGATGAAATTAGATTTTTAAAATTTTTTTTTACTGGAGGTGTTTAATAGCAAAAGGTCAAAAATATTGTTTTTTTTTTTTTTCTCAAAATTGTTGGTCTTTTTTTTTTTTTATTTTTTATAGCGCAAAAAATAAAAACTGCACAGGTGATCAAATACCACTGAAAGTAAAAAATAAAGGACGTAAATTACATTTGGGTGCAGCGTTGCATGACCGCGCAGTCGTCAGTTAAAGCAACGCAGTGCAGCTGCCAGTGTCATTAGTACGGTGGCAGTGTATAGTATTATCACAGTATTAGTGTCAGATTGCCACAGTCCCCCTATAAGTCACTGATCACCGCCATTAGTAGTTTAAAAATAAAAAAAATTTCAGGTACACCTAGCAGGAGGCTGTTAGCTGAAGCTTGCTTGATCCAAGCCTGTGGAAAAAGTTCTTACCTGGATCATAGTGGAAGGTCTTGGATTCGATCTATTGGATTATGCATTTTTTTTTTTTTAGCACAATTCCAGATCTACAATTCTACAGTACTGCACAAACGTTTTTGGCAGGTTTGAAAAAATGCTGTAAATGAAGAATGCTTTCAGTAGTTGAAGTGTTCTTAGTTTATTTTTATCATCAAAATGGAAATTAAATGAACAAAAGAGAAGATCAAATCAATATTTGGTGTGACCACCCTTTGCCTTCAAACCAGCACCAATTCTTCTAGGTACACTTCCACACAGTTTTTGAAGGAACTCGGCAGGTTGTTTGTTCCAAATATCTTGGAGAACGTGCCTCAGATCCTTCTGCCTCTTCATGTAATGCCTAGTACACACAATGAGAATATTGGAGGAATAATTGTCCATTTTATTTTGTGTTCTAGTCTCATATTGAAAACGAATAGGTTACGAAAATTCTGTAACCAATGCCATCAGTATGTTCTGTAACAATAAGGTTGTGAAGGTCTTGAAAGAGCTCTTTGCTTTTACCCATCATGAGATGTTTCTTGTGTGACACCTTGGTAACAAGACACCTTTTTGTAGGCCTTCAGTTGAGACTGAACCAGCTGATATTAATTTGTGCTGAGAAAGGGCAGGATTGCTTTCTAATTACTGATAGATTTCAGCTGGTGTCTTGGCTTTCCATGTCTTTTTGCACCTCGTTTTCTTCATGTGTTCAATACTTTTTCCTTGTGTCATTCCATTTTGTTACACATTGCATGTGTTCAATACTTATTTTACCCGCCATACAGTGGATACACACCCCTGTTAAAATTTCAGGTTTCTGTGATGTAAAAAAATGAGACAACAATAAATCATTTCAGAACGTTTTCCACCTTTTAATGTGACCTATAAACTGTACAACTCAATTGAAAAACAAACTTAAATCTTTTAGGAGGGGGGAGTATACATAAAAAACTAAAGTAATGTGGTTGCAGAAGTGTGCACACCCTCTTATAACTGGGGATGTAGCTGTGTTCAGAATTAAGCAATCACATTCAAAATCATGTTAAATAGGAGTCAGTACACACCTGCCATCATTTAAAGTGCCTTTTAAGGCATTTAAGGTACCCCCCTTATCCACGGCCCTGAACAGAGCTATTGTATGTCATGATTCAGAAAGAGATTGACACAGATTTGGGCATTAACGGAAGAAGGGACTGAGATTTTATGGAGAAATAATCATTTGGGAAATTGTGTCTTGCATTATTATTATTATACAGTATTTAGATAGTGCCAAAGGGTATGCTCAGCGCTGTAGAGTAGCAAGGGGGACATGACATGAGACAAGACAGTAACAATACACTACACAAGGGGTTCGAGGGCCCTGCTCTTTCGAGCTTACAATCTCAAGACAGACGGGTAATATTGGCTGCAGATAAACAGGAGAAATCTAACAAGCAGGCCATGTTATAACTGCTTGATGGCTTCAGATTAAAAATGGGTGACTTTTTTAAGCGGACCTTCCATCCTTAGACGTGCATGGGGGGGGTGGAGTTTTTTTTTTTTTTTAAAGACAAAATACTGAGTCAGTAAACCTAGCATCTAGCACAGCATAATTTATAATCCTCCGAATCTTTCCTTTTTTTTTAGTAACATCCTTAACATTGGTCTGCTAACACGTTTCTGCCTCAAAAGGCCTTAAAGTGTTACAAAACCCACAACCGCAAAATCAGTCTGTATATGCAGTAAGGCATGCTTGTTATACTCACTGTGGAACCTAAGGGGTTAAGCCTTTGCATTGTGTAAAACCGCGGTTTGATCCTGACTTCTCTGATCCTTCCCTTCTTCCAGTGCCCTGCTTATCTCCTGATTAGGCATATCATGGGCAATCACTCTGCACATGCTCAGTTTGATGTGTAAAGAAACAGCAAACCCAGATACTCCTGCACTTACGGATGGACTCAGTACAGATTAGGACCACATCATGAATGTCCTGGAATATGCATGCCTTGCTGCCCTCAAATGACCAGGAAGATCCAAATGTACTGAATAAAGAAATAAAACAAACAGGGTGCACCGGCCTAGTGCATTACCTAAAAAATGTATTTAATGAATGATAAAAGTAGGTATTGTACTCACAAAATGACAATACAGTCCAAGGCACATCATGAAAGAACAGCTCTGTCCAATCCGCACTACGTGTCTATCTGCAGTGGGAACTGTGGACTTCCAACAGGCTAACAAATTTCGAGGACTTGCCTCCTCCTCAGAGCCAACTCAGTACTGAGTACAATACCTACCTTTTATCATTTATTAAATACATTTTTAGGTAATGCACTAGGCCGGTGCACCGTTTGCTTTTTTTCCTTTATTCAGTTTGATGTGTATTGCTAGAGAAGCCTTTTTTTTTTTTTTTTTTTTTTTTTTGGAAGAGTGCATGTGATCATCCCAGGGCCAATCAGCACTGTCCAGACAGAGGTCAGGGGTCCTGCATCCTCCTAGAGCATAATTAAAACTCCTCCTACAAGCTTTAACATGTGCTGTGACGGACACAAGACTGATCTAACTGCTGATGAGAAAAGGTATTTAGCAGTTTATATTTAATAAAATAATTGCATTTCCATGTTGTGTGTACTGTGGGAGACCAGATATAGTGAATGCAGGGTCCAGGGAGACCGGATATAGTGAATGCAGGGTCCAGGGAGGCCGGATATAGTGAATGCAGGGTCCTGGGTTTAGTAACATGTTAGGGTAGAACTTTAGGTAATGAATAAAAATGGGCGAGCAGGCAGGGTTTTTAATGTAGAAAAGACCTGCTTCATGAGTTTAAACATTAAAATGACCTACTTGTCTGTCTACCCCTGTACAGTGAGCTACGTAAGCGCAACTCACTGTAGAAATTCGGCAATACCAAAGAAAATGGAACTCCCACACGTGTGGGAGTGATGTCATCCCCGTCCAGCCAATGACAGCGTCCCGACTATCAATACCCAGGAACAGGCCCCTTAAAGATGTCAGCGGCCAGCAGGGAGCTCCAGGACCTTGCATCTCTGGAGCGGAGTGTAGTTCTGCTTTAATCCTAGCAGGTATACCCCCAGCTTCTCCCACACTAACCAGAAAAAGATGACCCTTTGTGTGAGGGAGAACAAGCAAACTCTGTGCAGGTAGTGCTGTGGTTGGGATCCAAACTGATGACCTTAGTGCTGCCAGGCGGAATGCTGCCCACTCTTCATTTTTTGTTTAAAATGCTTTCAGGTCGAGGAGCCAGGTACCTACAGGCAGGATGCTTGGGCTATGACGGATGACGAAAAACTGCAAGCGGTACCCATCCTCCACCAAGAAGGCAACCATCTCTACAAAGAGGGAAAAACAGTTGAAGCAGCTGCCAAATATTACGAAGCTATTGCATGCCTTAAATCCTTACAGATGAAGGTACATTGCATACAGGACCTGTTCTAATTTCCTGTACTTAGCTGCATGTATATCTTCGTTATTATTATTATTGGTAATTTTGGCAAAATACTACCTAAACGAAACTTTCTGATGTTTGGTTGTAGGGGTGTAAGTTATCACTTGTTCTCATGTGGCTAACAGTAGAATTGTGGTCAATACCAGTCATTTAATAGCACAACATATCAAAAGCTGATCTCTAGCTTAACTTTAACTTTATAGTTTATCTGGTTGTAATTTTTCAATAAATACAAAGCTTCTTCTGATTTGCGGAGTCAGAGAATGTGATGTCAGCAGACCGCCTCTCTGACTCAGCCAAACGGAAGAAGTTTTATATTCATTAATGGAATACAAAGCTGCCTATGAATGGCTGAACGCCTCTCAGCCTGACGCTATTTTGTTCAGGGTGTGAGAAGAAAGGTCTCTCGTCTCACACATGAAACACAGTGCTGTATACTCTATGTAGCTGAGGTTACATACTGCTTATTCAGCAAATAGTTTGTTTTGGCCAGCTTGGCCCTAACAAATTCAAGGTGTAACATGTTACGATCAGACCGTCCCCCGATCCCTGCTTTGACAGCTAGTAAGGAATCTTCTCCCCCCCCTCACTAGCTGTCAAATTTTGAAAAATTGACCCGACAGCCTTACCGCCTGTCAGCTTGTAGTCCTCCATGAACTACTATGGTGCTGCGGAGCGCCATGGTAGTTCATTGATTCTTCCTGTCAGTACATCCCATACAGGCAGATCTGCAGGAGACCTGCATGCCACCAGTGATTGTTTACAGGCTCCTGCAGACAAAAATAATAAATGCAGATTTTTTTTTTTACCAGAAAAAAAAAAAGTGCATTTATTATTTTTTTTCTAAAAGGTGAACTTATCCTTAAGTGACCTTAAAATTAAAATTCTGGTTTTGAAAAAAAAAAAAAAAATCTATTCAAGTATGATCTCAGAGTTTCTTTCCAATTGTTGTCAGTTTCCTCCAAATCTCCCGCTTTTCCTTTTTTTTTTTTTTTTTTTTTTTTTGCTGTGATCGGACTTCCTGTTAGCGGATGACTACATTTTGTTTTCTATGGTCCCACTATATGTAGTAACAAAGCAACCCTCTCTTGCTCGATCCCCGAGATGGACTGTGGCAAGGGCAAGTGTGGGTATTGCTGTATGATAAGCATCAAATTTATTTGTTTTATTTACCATGATGGCAGCAGTCATTTTCTCTGTAAATTTTGGTAATTAATTATAATTATGTTTTTGTGTCTGGTTAGGAGCAACCTGGATCTCCTGACTGGATTGCTCTGGATTTGAAGATAACTCCATTGCTTCTGAATTACTGTCAGTGTAAGCTTCTGGAGGGAGAATATTACCAGGTTTTAGAGCACTGCTCATCCATTTTAAACAAGTATTCAGGTGTGTATGCATTTTTTAGAAGTAGTTGATACATGTTGTGGTAATCTATTGTTGCTATACACACAGGGTTTTTGTGCTCTGTAATATTTTCTGAGTTCATTGCAAACATAGGAAGTCTTTAAAAGAGAAGTTTGGGATTTTTTTTTTTTCTTTCTTAATTATACTTACCTTGGGGGATGCAACATCAATCCAATGCTGCATCTGTCCACTACTGGTTCCAAGGGTGAGAACTGAGTGATCAAACACTGGTGATCACTCAGTTCTCCTTGCCACTCTGAGCAGAGACCTGCGACTGTCAGTCTCTGACACTATGCACAAATTAACCAAATCGCTAAATATAAACAAAAATGTGTTTCACTAATACTGATATTACTATGGACACTGAGCAGCCATACCATTATGACCTAATGTTGAGTAGGTTCTCCTTTTGCTGTCAAATTAGTCCTACCCCTTTGAAGCATGAACTTCACTAGACCTCTGAAGATATGCTGTGGTATCTGGCACCAAGTTGTCAATAACAGATCCTTTTAAGTCCTGTAAGTTGTGAGGTGGGGCCTCCATGGATTGGACTTGTTTACTAGCACATTGCACAGATGCTCAATTGGATGGAGATCTGGAGAAGTTGAAGTCAACACTTTCTTCCATTGCACTGTGGTCCAGTTCTGATGCTTACAGTTCTGTAGGCACTTTTGGCTGGGGACACGGATCACAGTTCTTTGATGTCTTGATTAATAAATGCAGCACTAGATTCTCGATTTTGTCTTCCTTGAGCTTATGTGATGAGAGTAACTGAGCCTGGTTAGTCCTTCGGCTGATTTAGCCCTTGGATTACACATTAGGAAATATAGACCATAGGTGTTCCAAACCCTTTGTTAATCCCTATGAATAAAAATGTGCCCCCACTTCAATTGGAGGGCTATTTTACATTGCAGATGTGTCCCTGGATAATGTATCTTCCCAGGGTTCTTAGGTCACCCCCTATAGTTATCAGGCCCAGCTCCTGAATATAACCTTTTGTGCAGCTGTCCATCAGTCTTTTAATTTGGCTACTCCCAAAGGGGAGTTTGTCCAGCTCTGTTTGGGTTCATCCCACCCTGAGATAGTACCTCTCTTGGACTTCTCCTTACAGGGGAGTGTTCTGTCCTTGGTTTCTGTTTATTCCTTTGTGATACTACCCTTCAGTAGTATTCCTTTTCCAAGGGATCTCCTGACTTACAGGATCAATTCCTGCTGCTCCTTCTGCTAATAAGGTTCTGTTTATCCAGCATCCCTCCGAGACGTATCTACCTTCAGCAGTGGACCTTATGTCCACCCTAGTGCATTTAACAGGCATCCCCATTGTGGAATACTCATAAAACCTTCCCTGAACAGGGTCTGTATTCTGGAATCGCTGCTGGGCCACACCATTAAAGCTAGTAGCTGTGAAGCAAGATGGCAAATCTGTCTTGGGGCAAGAGCACCTTAATAATTTAGTAGTGTCTGTCAGAGTTTCAGTTGGACGTTTACCAGGTTGGCATACCACATTAACCTGGGTCAGTCAGGAGCATTGCAGAGAATTGGAATGCCCTCCATCTCAATTCCGTGAAGCAGAAAAGGAAAATTCATAAATCCTGGTATACTGATCCCTGGGAGCCACCAGATGATGACTGGAAAGAAACTTGTCTAGTTTTTTTTGCTGAACCTGAGATGCCAGGAAGCTTGCACGTGGCATCCCCCACTTGTGTCTCAGGTTCTAGAACATCTAAGTGTAGGGACTGCTCCCCCAAGTCCAGACACTGCCACCTGAGGAAATCTACCCGCGCGCTCATCTAGGCCTAAATACAGAGCTGGCAATACAGGGACATGACGCTCTGACCAGGACACAATCTGTTTTATCGCTCTTGCTGTGGTGAGACTTTTGGTACCTTCCTGATGGTTAATGTATGCCACCACTGCAGGGTTGTCTGACTGGATCCTGATTACACAACCCTTCAGCATTATGACCCATATCTGCAGACAGACAAATTGTCTGAAGTTATGGGATGTTGATCAGGACACAAGATGACACTGACTGTTCCTCTACAGGAGTATTGCATAATGGATATGCCCTGAGAGCACAGCAAGGCTAGTACTGGGGCCAGCACCTTGGTGAATATCCAAGGTGTGGTTAAGAGGTCACAGGGCAGGCCACAAACTGGTAGTGCAATGCCTGCAGATGTGGACATGAAAAGCACTTTGCAGCTAACTTTTACCAGGATGAAGTCTGAATAGTGCTCCACGTGGAAGCCAGGGGCCTGAAGATCACTGCCAGACTATTCCTGCTTAGTGGGTTCTGGGAGAGATACTCCAATTTGACCCAAACTAACTATGTCCCCTCACTAACCTGTGAGGCCACTGGACATGCGGTATAAACTGTATGTAGCTGAGGCTACATACCGCACTGCGTTCTGGGTGCAAGCCACAGAGTCTATCACAGCGGCACTCGGCCATTCAGAGTAAGCAATGTTTTATATCAATTAATACAAAGCTTAATCTGATTGGCAGTCAAAGAGGCAGACTGATGTCACTCAGCCAATCAGAAGAAGCTTTGTATTCATTGATATAAAACGTCACTTTCTCTGCATGACTGAGTGCCGCTGTGATAGACTTTGTTCCAGGTATGAGCTGGGAAAGTCCAGAACAGAGCGCAGTCTGCTGTATGTTGCTGCAACTACATACAGTTTATACTGCATATCCAGTGGCCTCACAGGTTAGTGTGGGATAGAGTTCATTTGGTCCTAGCTGGCCCAAAATGGACTAAGTATATCAAAAGGTGGAGATCAGCTTTAAAGCAGAGCTTCCCCCAAAAGGAGAAGTTGTGCTTGAAGTCCCCCCCCCCTTTTTTTGCAGGTGGTGATAGTGCAATAGCAATTCACACCTTTCCTTTGTCTGTAGAAAAGGGATCAACATTTGTCACAAACTGGTTCTGGTAGTTGAAAAGGCTTATCACATGTTTAGGTGAAGAATTACATTAGGGATGTTTGCACCATGTCTGACCAATCTCAAGCTACAGCCACTGTTTTTCATCTCTTTCAGATAATGTAAAGGCATTGTTTAAACGGGGGCGTGCCCATGCCGCAGTGTGGAACGCATCAGAGGCGGAGCAGGACTTCTCACGTGCTGTTGAGCTGGACCCTTCACTCGCTCCTCTTGTTGCAAAAGAATTGAAGCAGCTTGAGGCACGTATACACGAGAAGGAATGTGAAGACAAAGCAAGATTTCGAGGCATATTTAAATGACTTTCAGCAGTAGCAGCAAATTCATAGGTCAATGCGCCATTTCATGTGGCAGTAACTTGTTATGGACATGTGACTGGCACAATATATCAATTTAGCCACAACTGTAAGTTGGCAACCATCTTCCTTTCCAAAATGTAACATCAGTGGTAATGTTTGAGGCACGATGATTGTATAGAATACACCACTGAGTAAATATCAGGACTACTGTCTCAGACCAAAAGGAAAGCTATATATTGTGTCCTGTAATATGCCAGCATTACAGTTAGTATCTGTATCATGCTAAAACCATGCCTATCATAACAAAACCGCTGTATAGGTAACACAAACCACCCTCGCATTACATACATAACATAATCAAGAGTAACTTTATTTGTTTTTTATAGATTAAAAAAGGGAGGAAAAAAAATTTAGAAAGTGCAGAGCTGGAATGAGGTCACGTACGAGCATTGCGTTCTGTTTCAGCTAGACACTCTCTCACAAGAGCCCTAGCGTGGATTATACCTAGAAAGTGCAAAAGAAATGTTTAGCTACAGATTACAAATTAAAAAAAAAAAAAAAGTCTTGTAGGTAATCACTCTTAACCCCCACCTCTTTTTAATCTTTCCATGGCACTTTTTGCTTCCAGCATAGGTGGGTCTGATCTCTCTGCCCATCTCCTCGATCACAGACAGCAGGTCACTGTAAGTCCCCTGAGACACCGCTTGTGACACAGCTGGCTTCACTCCCTGGATAAGAAGGAAAAAGTCTGACAACTTCCTTTTGGCTCAGCAAGATTATAATATTCCAGTATTTTGTATTGTTTGTATATTTATAGCACTGCATGCAAGTCTGTGTACTCAAATAAACAAGAAGTCAATACAGTCTCTAGTTACATGGTATAGCATTTGATACTCAATGCAAGTTTGACAGCTGCTTCAATGTATTGTGGGAGTCAGCAATTACTATGCATGTTCCAGATACTTTACAAAATCCAAGTATGAAGGAAGCCAACACTTTGTGTGCTGGATTCTCATATCCACCACAATTCTAGGGATAGGAGAAATATAGCTGATGGAAAAAAAAAAAAAAAAAAAAAAAAAAAAGATTCTTACCGGTATGAAGCCCATAGAAGGGGGTCCAAAGTCACTGAAGTTGAGTCGGAAGGAGGAGACGGGCACAGCTCCTGATGGTGATGAAACCGCAGCTCCAGGCACTGCAAACCACATTAGATGAGGGGATGAGATGCTTAATGACTGCACACAACAGCTAGCCATCCACATCCACAATAATAGCATTGCAAGCCCACAATATGCACATAACAGGCGGGAAATGTGGATGAAGAGATTTGTGACAAAAAAGGTGAAATTGATTACTCTTAACAGCATAATAATGCACAGGTATAAAAAGCACTGAGACTCAATAAAAGATATGCCAGGCTAAATGTACATAAGATGTTGTCTTTCCGCCTGTTAAACTTGGTGAAACATCTGTCTCCATACACGGAGAGCAGACCACTTTGGGGTGTGGGGGCTCCTGTTCAACATTGCAGCTATTGCTACAGGACACCAAAGAAGATGGGACATGGCAGTACACATACTTCGTCCAATGGTAGGGTATCTAGGGATGGGAAAACTGAGTTATATTGCCGCCTTTAGGAGGAAGTGGGTACTTGCCATGTACAGCCACCCCTAACATGCTTCAGTTTTTTTGGTAGAGGCCTAGGAGCAGGGGCAGCTTCTATTCTTCAATCAAGACATCATCTACATACAGCTGTGCTCTTTATGTAGCTATCTGGATCATCATAACTTTAGCATAAGTTTAGAAGATTACAAGACCTGCATGGAATGTGAACACTGGGCTCTGCTTGAGATGCTTTTCAGACTCAAGTGTACTGTCCAAGTCCTGAGTAGTAACAGAGGCCCTACTGTGTCCTGGTCCCCAAGGATTCCTGCCTATGCTCTGTGGGCTGGGCATCAAACTATTAGGGCCCTTTCATCCAGAAGTTCTGATCAGGTCCGCCTGACCATTTTTCATGCAGACTCAGGCAAACCCCTATGAAGTGTCAGTTTACACCTGACTACATCCAATCTGATCGGCCAACAAGAGCTGGACGGGGATCCACAGTCCGGTGTAAACAGATAGGCAGTCCTTTTACATCAGACTGCCCATAGTGGACAGTCATCTGTGTACGTTCTGCGTAAGCAAAGCAGACACGGAGCCATCACCCGCCCTGCTCAGCAAGAATCAGAAGACGTATCCACAGTCCACCCCATGTGAAGCTATTGCAATAGTTGGAACCAGCACTACACCCCTTTTCCCAATTGTTTCCCTAGAAAGGTTTAAAACACTGAACAAGTAAGTGCTGCATCATAAGCATGGCCTCTCTGTGTTCTGTTCCTCTTTTTGTCATCCCTGAAGGTGCCTACTAAAAAAGGGAACCAGACTTCTGCTCCACCATTTATTACTGGTTTAAACAATTGTTCGTCTTTTGGTTTTGGGAACAAGGTTCCACCTTTTCCTGTTACAGAAAACCTGAGTTTCCTGGGGGGTTGGCATTCAGATTTGCTAGCTGCTACCTGTCTTCTGTTCACATGTTCTGCCAAATGAACAATGAAGCCTCATCTGATACTAGCCTCAGATGCAAGGCCCTTCAGGAACCTCTGATCTGTAGCTGTACCTAGTTTCTTGTGCCCTAAGGGCTACTTCACACAAGATGCAGTTCAGTGCATTTTTTTTATGCATCAAAAATGCATGCACAGTGTTTTCCATGTATTCCAATGGACCTAGTTCACACCAGTGCAGTCAGTTACAGGTGCAGAAAAAAAAAAGTAAAACATTGCTGCATTTTTTTCTGCACAGAACCATACTGGAACATGGCAAACTGCACCGGAACAGAGTGTGGTGTGAACTCTAAGCAAAAAACGTATCTGGAGTGCGTTTTTGTTGTGTGAACTGGCCCTCAGTGTTTGTTGCTGGGCTGTCCACCACTCCGACTGCTGCCAGTGTCTAGTTTTCCTGTAGGTGACAGTATAAGCTGAATGTTAAAAACTTCCTGTGCCCCTCAATGGACAAGTATTTTTCTTGCTGACTTTGCTGCTACCTCACTACTTGTGTCAACAGCACAACACAGCTGCAGTTCCACATTAACAAAAATTTCAACAAAAATATTAATGCCAAAGTATTATTAAACCTGAAAACATCAAAAACTTAGAACGGAACTCCAAGCAAACAGCTACATTTATGATCCCAATACATATATGCTTACTAGTTTACCTGCCAGAAGATTTTTGATTGTGACCAGCCATTCTTACAAAACACTACTAGTTAGGCTTCCTGCTAAATGGACAGAGACAGCCATACTGATTCATCGTTCAACGATTCGGCTGGCAACACAGATGTGACATACAAGTCAATGCTAAGTGTCAGAGATGCAGAAACAGAGACTGACCGGAAAAAACTGATTAAAAAAAAAAAAAAAAAAATACAAATCCTTTGGCAGAGAGAAACTAATATAGGTACTATCAACTGTGTATAATCATTTGCTCAGCGTTTAACGTGGACCTGAACTAAGTATAAGGCCCCATTCACACTTCACGTATCAGGAACGCACGTTCAAGCTCGCAATTTTTTGGGAGGGGATTTACAGACCTTTTTGCATGTTGTGCATGGGGCAGGTCATTCATTTGAATGAGCTGCCTATGCATGTTCGTCAAGCAAGATCATGTATATTTTTTGGCACTGAGCTTCACACAATTCTCAGAAGCAGTCTGCTGCGATTTTTGTGCGTTTTTCTGTCACACAACAATTAAGAATATGGCATACAAATGCTGCTATTTTAGCATGAGGCCTGAGATATGGTGATGTCACTAATGTACTGCTCACTGTGCCCCTTGCTAGAGAAAGTTGTAATGTAAGCATTGCCTTGCTTCTTCATTCATTCTGTGGATCTGTACACCTCTGCAGTTTCTTGATTGGTGATGGGGGATTTTTGACATGAGGAAAAAGGATAAGACAAGTTAATAATGGGGAATAGATCAGCTGTAGGTAGGCCACAGGCAATGCTGGTGACTAATCCTTTTCCCTGTCCTTGCCTTATTCTGGGCACAGTTCAGGTCTTCTCAGTTGAACCATCACTCCACTTTCCTAAATCTAGCTTTTGATCTGCCATCCTGAAGGGCTGGTTCACACCAGAATCACACAGGAACACTGTGTGATCCCTGCACTGCGATTTGGCAGCCCATTCACCAAATTGCATAGTACTGCTGAACCATGTGATCTGGTGCCAACAGACGCACTGCATTTGCTCCGTGTTTGGGGTGCTGTTAAGACTGTATTGGCACCAGCAGCAGATTGTAGTGCGTTTTGAATGCAGTGTGGGAAGCCAGGGGCCAGAAATGCTGGCAGGGGACCCTAGAAGAGCAGGATCTAGGCTGCTCTGTGCAAAAACCATTGTAAAGAGCAGGTAAGTATGCTTGTTATTTTTTTCAAAGCCCAAGCTTTTACTATCACTTTAAGGCTGCATTCACACTTCTGCATAGGAACAAGCGTTTCCCCTAAGCAACTTAGACAGGCGATTTTCAACGTTGCCTAGGACAGTCCATTCTCTTGAATAGGTTGTCCTATCTGTGTTTCTTGCCAGAAAAGAAGCTCTTGCCCCTTTTTGGGCATGAAGCTCCACACAATTTTGAAGGGGCAGTTTGCTACGGGACAACTGTGGCAGAATCGTGTTAGGGGTGCCATTAAGGGATATTTTTTTGAAACAGAGATTTCTTTTGGTGGTATTTGATCAACACTGGGTTGTTGTTTTTTTAGTGTGTGTGTGTGTTGATTAGTTGAGACCTTAAAATGCCAGACGCTGGTAGGATGTATGATGGTGATTAGGATGCTGGTATGGAGAATAGGGTGATCAGAACACTTGTGTGGGATATGGTGGTGATCAAGGCACTGGTATGGGGTATGGCGGTGATTGGGATGCTGGTATGGGGTGTTCAGAACATTTGTGTGGGATATGGTGGTGATCAGGGCACTGGTATGGGGTATGGCTGTGATTAGGATGCTGGTATGGCATACAGGGTGATCAGAAGGCTAGTATAGGGCATGACGGTGATCAGGATGCTGGTATGGCGTATGGCCGTGTTATTGTAAGCACTGGGACAGGTGCTGACTGCATTATTTACATTACACTGAGGCATTGATCGGGGACACTGGGTGGCTGGCACTGCAGTCTGACAGGCTGCAGCATCGGTTCTCTCTGCTGTCAGTCAGAACAGAGAGAAGCAATCTTTACTTTCACTTTCATTTTTTACTACGCGATTACTGTGACTGGACACAGCAATCACATGGTAAAACACTATATGATCACCTGGACACAGCAGTAATGTGATCCACTGTGTCCTGGTGATATGCAGATCTCTGGGCTCCCTGATGCACAGTCTTTGAGCTGCCAATGAGGGCTGACATACAGGTACATTAGCTTGTATTAGCACAGCTTCCCTTCTGCCACCTATAGGCAGACTGGAAGTGTTACAGATTCGGAACAAAATGTAAGCCCTGGTTCACACGGATGCGGTGTAGGAAACATAGCAATTCCTGTGCACGTCTCGCACCACATAGCAATCGCACTGTGTTCATGCTACCTGCTGCAGGTGTCAATGTGAAGTTAACGACACCTCAAAATATGGTTGCAGAACACAGTGCGTTTGCCTGAGCCAGATTGCATGGGTGTAAATACCAATGCAATCTGATTCTGATGAGGGAAAAAAAAAAACAAAAACCGTTTCTGAACCTTTCGTGTGGATGCGGTAGGATTTGAGCCATACCCAAATTGCACCACACAGAATCGCACAGGAATGCGTTTCCATGGTGTGAACCAAGGCTAAAGATGAACTAGCACCTAACAATAACAATAACAATCACTAACAATGCCCACGACTCAGTGGGTGAAACGCGTTGACATCACAGGCGTCAGTACATCCTGGCTCCGGGCTGCAACATGTGGGTTTCCAACATGCCGCCTCACCTTGATGCTTTGCACGGCTCTATATGAACTTTGCGATTCCATCTGGATGGCCCACATTGAAAGCATATCACAGCAGTAACAATGATCATCAACTGCCATATCAGATACCCTGGGAGCGGTGTACTATCACTTATATTCATGCACCGGTATCCTCATCAAGCAGTGGTCTCGGAACTAGGAATGCTCTGAGGGGCTAGAAGTGCAAGCAGCTAATGCACAGCAGTGTGTCATATATATATATATAAATATATGCACTACTTTTGTGGTCATCTCAACTGTTCATCGTGTGTGATCTTTCTGCGGTTTGATCAGCTCCATCATCTGTGCTGCTGCACACATGGATAGGAATTATCTGCTTGATATTTCCCTGCATTTGCACAGCTGACAGTGGACTGTGTTCAACACAGGGCTGTGGACTGCCTGGTCGATAATTACGATTAATACATACATATACACACACCATCTGATGCTGCAGCCCTGTGGGATCGCTCTTCATGGTGATAGGGGTTTCCCCCACTGTTGCTGACTTGCCTATTCCTTATATTGTTGCTGTTGATTTGCTCAGTTATGCTTTTTCATTATATTATGCCTTTTTGCTTACATCTTTGAGTGAGTGAATTGTATGCTATGCTTTTGTTGTTTGACAATGTTGTCAATGTTTCATGGTGGAGGGTGAAGGTACCTTTTTCTCTGTGGGTGATACACTTTGCAATTGTTTTTATACAATTTTTTTCATACTCAATAAAAGTATATAGTCTGTCTGAAACTGCAGTTGTCGTTTGGGACCACTTTAGTGTAGGGTCTTTCCTGCATAATTCAAATGCATTACAAAGTGGTTAAGCCCCAAGTACACCACCCCCTATTTGGGTGAATCGGTCAGACTATCTCCTATATTAGCAGTGGCTCCCGGAGTTGTTGCTTTTTATGTTTTATGAACACCATACACATTCCCCTCCCACACAGTTCCCGCTGTACTTTCCTCCAGGGGTGCTGAGCTGTCAGTGCCCCCGCCTCTGGTCCAGGGATTTGACATCCTCACTCTTCTCTGTGCAGGGCTTCCAGGATGGATCAGAGTGAATTTGATTGGTCAGTGCCAGCGCACACAACATGCCTGTGATCTCTGTGCCGGGCTTCTGGGGCAGATCAGAGTGAATCTGATTGGTCATGTCGGCACACAGCATACCTCTGATCTCTGTGTAGGCCTTCCAGGATGGTTCAGAGAATCTGATTGGTCAGTGTGGGCACACAGTATCCCTTTGATCTGCCCCAGAAGCGTTACACAGAGATCAGAGGGATGCTGTGTGCCAGCACTGACCAATCAGAATCTCTGATCCATCCTGGAAAGCCTGCACAGAGAAAAATAGGATGTCAAAACACCTGAACCAGATGCGGGGGCACTGCCAGCTCAGCACCCCTGGAGGCAAGTACAGCGGGGATTGGGGAAGTGTGTAAGGTATTAATGCACCACCACCTAGGTGCAGGGTATCTCTTGCACATGGACAGTCTTTTCTACAAACGCCAATTGAACCCAATATCTGGCACACACAGGCAGAACTCGGGGCAGCCTGCCCATAGTCAGACTTTGGTTCACATCTGACCAGAAGTTCCCCAGCATCCATGGCTTCATCCATAGGAGGCCTGCCCTCTGTGCATGTCACATACAATCGGTCTGCTATAGCTGATCAATAATAATAGCATGTGACTGCGTGTGACCCCTGTACACAGACCTCCAGACCCCATCCCCCCCACCTCCTCCATACACTGGCTGCACACAGATGTAGAATAGGATAAGACCATTACCGGGGGTGACGGGGGTGCCCGGAGCGCTGCTGCTCCCCGCTGCCGGGGCCGGAGCAATTGGTTTGTACGACATTTCGTCTGTCCGGTGAAGAGGAGGATGGTGATTGGCGGGTCACACAGTCGCAGCTCGCGCTCCCTCCTCCAGTCTGATTGGCTGCTCGTCCGCGGGGTGTCGCGCGCCGCTCTCCGCAGTGTCGTCTATGGCAGGAATGGCCGGACTCTCCGCTCTCTTCTCTTCCCCCCTCTCTGACCTCTCCAGGATGATTCCCACCACCACAGACCTCTCCGCCAAGCTTTCCTCCCCTCACAGCGCGTCCACCGTTCTTCGGTCTCTCCCGGTCCAGATGGTAATGGCGCCGGTCCGCTCACAGCCCCCCTCACCTCAGCTCACCCGGCTTCAGCTGCCCCTACGCACCCCTGACGTCATGACGCCACTAACCGGCTCAGACCCGGCGCCCCCGCCCCAAAACACAGGAGTAGCGTGTAACCCCTCCCAATCAGTAGGAGGGGGCGGAGTGAGAGCAGAGCGGGCGGGCATGGGGCGTGTCTAGCGCCCTGGACTGTATGATGGTGATACTGTGAGAAGGAGTGCAGTCTTCATTACCACAGACGGGGCGGGGACACAGGAAGTGGAATATAGATCATTCAGGGGAATGAGCGAATGTGGCCTCAATGTGCAAACTGCTTCGCCAACTACGTAGGTTCTCCCCTCCAGTCCATCATGAATACTGCTGCCAGAATCCTCTACCTCACCAAGGGCTCGGTGTCTGCTGACCCTCTCTGACAATTGCCCAGCAAATTCAATTCAGAATGCTACGATAATATACAAAGCCATCCACAACTCTGCCCTGAGCTACATCACCAACCTGGTCTCTAAATATCACCTATACTGTCCTCTCATGACCTCCTGCTCTCAGGATTCCTTGTCTTCCCCCATGCTCGTCTCCAGGACTTCACCAACCTGGTCTCCAAATATCACCCATACTGTTCTCTCATGACCTCCCGCTGTCAGGATACCTGGTCTCCTCCCATGCCCGTCTCCAGGACTTCACCAACCTGGTCTCCAAATATCACCCATACCGTCCTCTCATGACCTCCTGTTCTCAGGATTCCTGGTCTCCAACTCCCATGCCCGTCTCCAGGACTTCACCAACCTGGTCTCCAAATATCACCCATACCGTCCTCTCATGACCTCCCGCTCTCAGGATTCCTGGTCTCCTCCTCCCATGCCCGTCTCCAGGACTTCACCAACCTGGTCTCCAAATATCACCCATACCGTCCTCTCATGACCTCCCGCTCTCAGGATTTCTTGTCTCCTCCCATGCTCGTCTCTAGGACTTCACCAACCTGGTCTCCAAATATCACCCATATCGTCCTCTCATGACCACCCGCTGTCAGGATTCCTGGTCTCCTCCTCCCATGCCTGTCTCCAGGACTTCACCAACCTGGTCTCCAAATATCACCCATACCGTCGTCTCATGACCTCCCGCTCTCAGGATTCCTGGTCTCCTCCTCCCATGCCCGTCTCCAGGACTTCACCAACCTGGTCTCCAAATATCACCCATATCGTCCTCTCATGACCTCCCGCTGTCAGGATTCCTGGTCTCCTCCTCCCATGCCCGTCTGCAGGACTTCACCAACCTGGTCTCCAAATATCACCCATACCGTCCTCTCATGACCTCCCGCTCTCAGGATTCCTTGTCTCCTCCTCCCATGCTCGTCTCCAGGACTTCACCAACCTGGTCTCCAAATATCACCCAAACTGTCCTCTCATGACCTCCCGCTCTCAGTATTCCTTATCTCCTCCCATGTTCCCAACCTGGTCTCCAAATATCACCCAAACCATCCTCTCCTCCCATGCTCATCTCCAGGACTTCACCAACCTGGTCTCCAAATATCACCCATACCATCTTCTCATGACCTCCCGCTCTCAGGATTCTTTGTCTCCTCCTCCGATGCTCATCTCCAGGACTTCAACAGAGCTTTTTTTATTCTCTGGCGCTCTCTACCTCAATCTATCTGGCTTTCCCCCACTCTGGCTGCCTTTAGGCAATCCCTGAAAACTCATCTCATCAGGGAAGCCTATCACACCTCCAACTAAATGTTTATCACTCCCATCAGCTCATCCCCCACCCTTTTGTACAATTTGCCCCATCCTATTAGATTGTAAGCTCTTAATCCTCCTTGGTTTTATTGTATTGTAACGCTCTGTACAAACTGTTGGCACCTATATAAATCCTGTATGGTAAGAACTGTGTTTAACTGCTTCTCGTCCGCCCTATAGCAGAAATACTGCTACAGGGCAGCATGGGTGCACAAAATCACATTATATGTATATACAGTTGTGTTCAAATAATAGCAGTCAGACATCACTAACCTGATCAATCACTGTTTTTGGTAGAAATGATATTTCTACATGGCAAATAATTTACTAGCAGGTGTAGTAGAGTAATAGAAATCCAACAGACCCAACAGTCATGACATGCATGCTGCTGATTCTGTGTAATTGAATCACTAATTGAAAGGGGCATGTTCAAAATAATAGCAGTGTGGAGTTCTATTAGTGAAGTCATTCATTCTTTGAAAAACAGGTGGCAATTATTATTATTATTATACAGTATTTATAAAGCGCCAACAGTTCACTCAGCACTGTACATTACAAAGGGGGACAGAACATGCGACAGTACAGTAACAATACAATGCGATACACGAGGGGTTCGAGGGCCCTGCTCTTTCGAGCTTACAATCTAGGAGGGAGGGGATAGTGGTACAGGAGGAGATAGCTGCGAGGGATGGAGTGGTAGGGAGAGTGGAAGAGGTCGGCAAATTAGCAGGGTTTGGGGTAGGTTTCCCTGAAGAGGTGGGTTTTCAGGGTACGTCTAAAGGAGAGCAGAGTAGGTGATAGTCTGATGGGTTGGGGCAGGAAGTTCCAGAGGATGGGTGACACCCTGGAGAAATCCTGGAGGCGGGCATGGGAGGAGGAGACCAGGGAACTAGAGAGAAGGAGGTCTTGTGAGGAGCGGAGTTGTGATAGGTAGGATGAGAGCCAGGAGAGAGCGGAATCTCTGAGGCCGAGGGAGTGTAGTTTTTTGAGGAGGAGGGGGTGGTCGACTGTGTCGAAGGCCGCGGAGAGGTCAAGGAGTAGGAGCAATTATTGCCCTTATTTAAGGAAGGAAGGCAGCAAATGTTGTACATGCTGGTTACAGTGCATTTCTCTCTGAAATTCTGAGGAAAATGGGTCGTTCCAGACATTGTTCAGAAGAACAGCGTACCTTGATTAAAAAGTTGATTGGAGAGGGGAAAACATATAAAGAAGTGCAGAAAATGATAGGCTGCTCAGCTAAAATTATCGCAAATGCTTTAAAATGGCAACCAAAACCTGAAAGACGTGGAAGAAAGCGAAAAACTACCATTCGAATGGATAGAAAAATAGCCAAAATGGCAAGGACTCAGCCAACAATCAGCTCCAGGAAGATCAAAGAAGGTCTAAAGTTACCTGTGAGTACTGTTACAATTAGAAGACGCCTATGTGAAGCCAAGCTATCTGCAAGAAGCCCCCGCAAAGTCCCACTGTTGAAAAAAAGACGTGCTGAAGAGGTTACAATTTGCCAAAGAGCACATTGACTGGCCTAAAGAGAAATGGCGCAACATTTTGTGGACTGATGAAAGTAAGATTGTTCTTTTTGGGTCTAGTGGCAGGAGACAGTTTGTCAGATGACCCCCAAACACTGAATTCAAGCCACAGTACACTGTGAAGACAGTGAAGCATGGTTGCGCAAGCATCATGATATGGGGATGTTTCTCATACTACGGTGTTGGGCCTATTTATCGCATACCAGAGATCATGGATCAGTTTGACAACATCAAAATACTTGAAGAGATCCAATAGAAAACTTGTGAGGTGACATAAAAAATGCATTTTCTGAGGCAAAACCAAGAAATAGAGAAGAACTGTGGAATGTAGTCCAATCATCCTGGGCTGGAATATCTGTTCACAGGTGCCAGAAGTTGGTTGACTCCATGCAACACAGATGTACAGCAGTTCTCAGAAACAGTGCTTATACAACTAAATATTAAATAAGTGATTCAAAGGAAAGCAAAATCTTCAAACATTTTTCAGTTTTTATAGTGAATGTTTGAGTTTGTAAAGAAGAATACAAACACTGCTATTTTTTTGAACAGTCTAATATTCACTTTTCTTAAATTATTTTAGAGGAACAACACAAATTTGATATATTTTTCTTCATGTTTTGATTTGGAATAGAATGTGTAGTGTTCCCAATGCATTTGTGTGTATGGAAATAAAAGCTATTAGAAGGAATTTGAGCTTTTTTCACTTTTATCAACACACTGCTATTATTTTGAACACAACTGTATATACATACATACACACACGATTTTGCAGTTCTGGGTATCACTGATCACTGTATTGGTGTCACTGGGGATGTCAGTGACACCAAGTCAGCCCCCCCCCTTCCGTGTCAGAATGCCCACCGCAGTCCTGCTATAAGGTCGCTGATCACCGCCATTACTAGTAAAGAAAAAAAAAATCCCAGTATACATACCATCATTTGTAGACGCTATAACTTTCACGTAAACCAATTAATTTACATGTATTGGGTTTTTGTTTTTTTATAGCAGTCATACAAATCAGTGTGCTTACAGTGAAGCATACACACAGCCCGGTATGTAAAACAGCACAGTTAACCCTTTAATCGCCCTTCCTGCTCAGTGCCATTAGTACAGTGTCAGTGCTTTTTATTAGCACTGACCACTGTATTGGTGTCACTGGGGATGTCAGAGACGCCAATCCAGTTCCCCCCAGTGTCAGAATGCCTTCAGCAGTCCCGCTATAAGTCACTGATTGCCGCCATTACTAGAAAAAAGAAAAATTCCAGTATCTATACCTCCATTTGTAAACGCTAAAACTTTCACGTAAACCAATTAATTTACAAGTTTTTTTTTTTAGCAAAGACATGTCACAGACAGGGACGGACTGACAACTCATGGGGCCCCTGGGCAATAGGGGATCATGGGGCCCCTGTGTCCTTGCCCAAACTCAAAAAAGTCTATGAAAAAGGTACCAGGGGCATCTCATGAGGCCCCCTACTGACCCCGGGCCCTCGGGCAGTGCCCGAGTTTTCAAATGGTCAGTCTGCCCCTCGTCACAGAATACATTTTGGCTGAAATTTATGACGAAGTTTGATTTTTTAAATTTTTTTACTGGACATGTTTAACCACTTGCTTACAGGGCACTTATACCCCTTCCTGCCGAAGCCAATTTCCAGCTTTCAGCGCTGTCACATTTTGAATGACAATTGCACGGTCTTGCAACACTGTACCCATATGACATTTTTATCATTTTTTTTAGACAGATAGAGCTTTCTTTTGGTGGTATTTAATCACCTCTGGGATTTAATTTTTTTCTGAAACAAACCAAAAACCACAGAAAATTTTGAAAAAAAAAAATTTTTTTCTTAGTTTTTGTTATACAGTTTTGTAAATAAGTGATTTTTCTCCTTCACTGATGTGCGCTAATGAGGCTGCAGTGATGGGCACTGATGAGGAGGCACTGGTAGGTTGCACTGATGGGCATTGACAGGCATCTCTGATGGGCACTGAAAGGCAGCACTGATACATGACACTGATATATGGCACTGATAGGCAGCACTGACTGGCACTGATAGGCGGCATTGACTGGCACTATTAGGTGGCACTGACTGGCACTGTTAGGTGACACTGACTGGCACTGATAGGTGGCACTGATTGGCATTGATAGGTGGCACTGACTGGCACTGATGGGTGACACTGATTGGCATTGATAGGTGGCACTGACTGGCACTGATGGGTGACACTGAAAGGCAGCTCAGATGGGCACTGATATGTGGAATTGATGTGCACTGGTAAGCACTGATATGTGGCATTGATGTGGCACTGATGGGCACTGGCACGTGGCACTGATAAGCACTGACAGGTGGCACTTCTGGGGCCACACTGATCAGGGCACAGTGATCATCAGTGCCCTGATGATCAGTGTACATGTCCCCTCCGCGGAAAGCCGATTACCAGCTCTCCTCTCGAGCTGTCAGCGTGACAGCTCGAGAGGGGAGAAATGCCGATAACCGGCATTTCCGTGTTTACATGTGATCAGCTGTGATTGGACACAGCTGATCACATGACCGAGCCGACATCTTCGGCTCTTTCTGTGTTCCGTTGTGTCCGAGGGACACAGCGCACTGGCGATCGCCGCGCTGCGCGTTACCTGAGTCGTGCATGCGCGGTGGGAATGGAAGGACTATACTGGCGGGCAGAAGGTGGTTAATAGCAAAAAGTCCAAAATATTATTTTTCTCTCAAAATTGTCTATTTTTGTTTATAGAGCAAACAATAAAACCAGCATAGGTGATCAAATACCACCAAAAGAAAGCTCTATTTGTGGGGAAAATGGACTTTAATTTCATTTGGGTGTAGTGTTGCATGACAGCGCAATTTTCAGTTGTCGTAACGCAAAAAATGGCCTGGTCAGGAAGGGGGGTGAATCTTCTGGAGGACAAGGGGTTAATCTGTATTTATTGAAAAGTTTAACAATACACAAAAGAAGCATACCCAGAAAGAGGGTATATAAAACAACATAAAAGTTCAAAGTAAAAAAAAAATAAGTGCAAACTAGTTAGGCTCCATGCACACTAGCGTTTATTTAAGCTCCCAGAAGCAGTTATTAGCATTTTTTATGCTCCTAAAAGCTAAATAGTGTCCCTCTAAATCCTCTTGTTTTTTTATTGTATTGTAACTGTACTGACTGCCTTTATATTGTAAAGCACTGCGCAGACTGTTGGCGCTATATAAAGCCTGTATGATAATAACTTTGTGTTCAATCTGTATTTAATGACAATTTTAACAATACACGAAAGCATAACCAAAAAGAGGGTATATAAAAACATCATAAGAGTACAAAGTAAAAAAAAAAAAAATAAGTGCAAAATAGTTAAAGTCAAGTTCACTGGATACTTGTGGGAAAAGAGACAACATGGTAAGGCACTGGATGGTCCAACCAATATCAGCAATACAATCAGCACATTACAATATAGCAAGGAAGGAGTATCAGAAGAGAAGTACACCCCACTACAAACAAAGCTTGCTACCAACAGGCAACAGTATCCCACATAGCTGTGGCGTGGATCATAGGAAGACAGCAACGGGAGCTCCAGGGGATAAACAGGCGAGGGACCAGGTGTACCTGGAGGCAAAAGAAAGGGGGGGGGGGGGAATAAAAAAATTGCATTAAATTACATTTTTCCAACCAATCAGTGTCTGGATAGGAGGTCCCATATGTCCTGGGGCTCTCTATACACTTTCTAACCAAGCCATGTTCGGTGATATTGTTCATACATGTCTAGTTCCTGGGCCAGAAGGGACTCCATGCGTTCAATATGATCCATCTCTGAATGCAGTAGGGACATGTGTGGCGCTTCAATGGCATGAGAGGACTACCCTAGCAGCCATTAGGCAAAGTCTCAGCATTTATCCGAGCGCTGAACTAATGTTTTGCGATGTTTATTATGCTATGTATTATGGTATTGTGCTAGCTGCTATGTTTTTTTTTAACATCCAAACAGGGCCCTAGCATGGTTTTTTTGCTCTTATTTAATGTCTTGGCAGACCCTTCTTGATGTGTTTGATAGACATGGGCAAGAGTACCACCTGGAGGTGAGTTAGGGAAGGTGACTTTAGTAACGTTGGTGTAAATTCGAAGAATGAGATCCCAAAAATTTCTGATGTGAGGACATTCCCACCAAATATGCTATAGAGTACCTTAACCCGCTTTGCAAGGCCAACTTTGATCAGACATCAATAGGTATAGGTGATGTAAAATGATATTGGGGTGGGTACAGGCCAGAAGTATCTTGTAGATGGTAGAGAGGGTATGTTATGGAGGAGCAAGACTTCAAAAGCCCTAGGGTCTCTGGCCAGTGAACCCCTGTAGGGAAGATAAAAGAAGGAGAATAATTGTCGGTATTCCATCCACTGGGAAAATAATGCATGATCTGAATTCCTGAGAGTTGAAAAAGGAGGGAGTATCCCTTCGCTTAAGATTTGTGCCAACTGATGATGTCTAGAGTTATTCCATACTAGAAAGCTAGTTCAGGTACCAGCAGGAGGGCAGTGCAGATTACCAAAGAAAGACATCACTGGACCCATATGGGATGACAGATTAAGTTTGGTTTTTAGCTTGCCCCACAGATAAAGCAAATGCATCATAAGCAAAGGGAGGGGTGTGAATACACCTCTACACAAGGGGTCAACCCAAGGAAGTGCTCAGTTATCGTAGGTTGTGATGCTCTGTTGAACGGAGACCCATTGTTTAGTATTAGAGTCAACCAATTCACTAATCTACTAAAAACTGCACCTGTGTAGTATAAGAGGTCAGGTGCATCCCTTTCCCCCCCCCTCTAGGTTTGGGAAGAGAAGGTGGCATCCTATGAAGTTGTGGTTTAAGTTGGCTCCAAATGAACTTCCTAAATACAGTTTGCAAAAGGTCGGAGAACAGGCATAGGGAGGGTTTGAAACACATGTAGGAACCAATGAACTATGTCCATTTTCAGGATATTAATCCTTTCAAACCATGAGTAATTCTTATGGACATAGGTTTTAAGGTCAGTCAGGGTATGGTTCAGGAGAGGGAGATATGTTTAATGTTTACAACTGGGATAGATCTGAGGAGAGTTTGATACCCAAGTACTTTATGACAGACGGACAGAGCTTAAATGGAAAATTGTCTCAAAGATGTTTAATCTGCCTGTGGATATATTAAGGATCTCTTGATTTGGAGAGACTTACCTTGAAGTTACTGAATAATCTGAACTGGTGGAATTCCTGGGGAACTGAGGGCAAGGGGGTTGGTGGTGAAGCACCAAATTATCTGTAAACAAGGAGAATTTAATTTCCTTTTGTCCCAGCCCAAGAGATAGAATAATTGATATGAAGGGCTATGGCCAAGTATTCCATCAGAAGAACATACATGTCACGTTGTGAGGTCAGGTTCAGAGACCAGTAGCTATAGCAGCAGACCAACCAACAAGATAGGTAAACAAGCAGGGCACCCTGGGAGATGACGCAGGCTTACCTGAGGTGCGGGGTCTAAGCACTAACTGGTATTCACCAGAGCTCCTGATGGTGGAGATGGATTTTGCTGCGTGTTAGTACCAGGTCGCAGTTCTCAGGATTACCCCACCAGGAGGTAAGCAAGCCAGGATCCAGTAACTGATATGGCAGGTAGGGATCTAGCAGAAGTGTAGTCAGTAAACAAGCCAAGGGTCGGTATCAAGCGGTAGCAGGTTGAGATGAGGCAGAATCGTAGTCAAGGAACAAGCCAAAGGTCGGTAGTGAAGGTATGATCGGCAGCAGGAGAGAAAAAGCGAGATACTGGCTGGAGAAGGCACAATAATCTGGCAACCAGGAAGTGCAGAGACGGCTTAAATCAGGAAGTTCATGGGAGAATCAAGGAGTTCAAGGTTCATCAGAAAACAAGGCAGGAGTGTTTTCCAGCATCCCAGGTAGCTCAGTGAGAAGAGTTACTGCCTGACACAGTAGAAGTCCCATATTCAAGTCCAGACCCTGACAATACAATAATGGAGACTTAAAAAACTACTGATGAATGCCAATGTTTAAAGAGAATCCAGGTGTCAAGGAGTTGTTGACACAAACTTTTGCACTGGGTTGGGAATATAAAGCAAGGATTTTGTGTAGTAAAACTTGGCCCTGTCTGATTTGGACAATGTATGCTGGAGAAAAGGCCAAATGAATATCAAAAGCATCAATAGGTAGAAGACAAGCAGGTATTTTAGACGTTTGAGCATAGTGCATAAACAAAAGAGTCTTAAAGCAGAACAATACTCACCTTCGATCTCGTAATGCTCTGTCCCAGAGCTCCGCACCTGGCTGCTGAAATCTTCAGACAGCCAGCTTCCGGGTCCTCTTTGCCAGCCGCTGTCATTGGCTGGGCAAGGATGACGTCACTACCACGCTTGTGCGGGAGTTGTGTCAAATTCAGCATTGCCAAATTTGGACAGTGAGCGGCTGAACAGGCAGGTAGGTATGTAGCTTTAATGCACAAGAGACAAAGCATGTTTCTTCTGCATCAAACATCCTGCCTGTTCACCCAGTTTTAATTTTTACCTAAAGTTCCACTAAATGTATTGTCATCTGCTTCCCTCGCCTGAGTAAACTCCACCTGATCCGTATGAATCAGATCCAATTGAGGAGGTTGTAGTCGGGAAGCAATTATCTTAGCGTAAAGTTTCACATTGACTCTTATAGGGTGATAACTTTAACAAAGGGTCAGATCTGTATCCAGTTTAGGGAGCAAAGAAATTTGCTGTCAAGGTTTGTCGAGGAAATGGATTCTCTGCAGATATGGAATTGCATACCTACAAGAGAAATGGTGAAAGATGGTCTTTGTAGGTTTTATAGAAATTAGGCTTGAAGCCAAAAGAGACAGGGTATTTACTATGAGGTGTGGAGGTTATAGTCACCAAGAACTCTTCCATCAAGAAGGGGCTGTCCAGGGAGGTCCTAGTATATGTATTGGTTATATAATCATAAAGGCGCTGATCACTAGGGGGAGTATCACCCTCAGAAGGAGGAGGCACAAGATTATAAATCATGCAAGGTCCCACAAAAGGAGGTGGTTTGGAGGTTAGATCACACCTATCAGTCTTGGTACTAGGAATGAACAGTTGAGAAGTGCGCAGATGTGGAGAACATGCCAACAACCTATTACATTTGTCACCATGACGGTATTTACCTAAAGATAACCATTCTCTGTAATTATAATGGGGACGACGTTGTAGAGCTGTAGTTGATTAGATCTAGTACAGTAGCTGACAAAGAGGCCATTATTTCCAGTGTAGGGATCACTTTGTGAAGGGTTTCCAGGAAATTGTGCTTGGCCAGCGTAGCCTAAATCAATGCAGATTTCTCTTTTTTAACGCACACTCCATGTTAGATAAACACCCCATGTGGCACAGCTTTTAGAGCTTCCCACTGAATGGAAAGTGGGGTGGAACCTCCCATGTGGTCATTCAAAAAAATTCCAGATCATAACAGCTTACCATCTTTGCAGTGAATCCCATTTACCACTTGCATTCTGGAGCAATTTTTAAAAATCTTTTTGCAGAATACTATATACAGTATTTTCTG